GGTTCTGTTCTGGGTGGAACATCTTTTGTGGAAAAACAAACTTTCTGACCAGGTCAGTAGCCTGGTCAGAAACCTGGCGTCAGCAAGTCAGCAATGTACGTATTTTGGTTCATTGTCCTGTGGAGAGCAGCCTAATTGGCCTTCCAGGTGCCAACAGCTAAGCAGATGCTGCTGCACAGAAGAGACAGAACTCTCAGCTTCAGTTGGTGGAAACAGAGGAGGTTGATGTTAAATGTAGAGACACCATAGCCAAAGACGTCATGGTACTGTGTTGTTGATCCAGGATAGCTGCTTGCTCCAGGTGGACAGTGCTTCTAACTCCTGGTTGGCTCGTTTGGTTTTCCTGTTAATGTGCAGATAGACTCCAGAGGAAAGACTAACCTTGGCACCGACAATGGCATGGAACTCTCTCCAAATGCAGGATGTAAACTGGGGTCCCCGATCGAATGCGATGTGTTGAGAGAACCCACAAACTTTTCTCAGTGAGTTACTAATAATAGACAGCAATGGAGTGATTGTGAAAGTTCCAAACAGGACAGAAGGAGGCAAGATCTCTAACGAGGATGATGAGGGTTTCATCTTTCCCATTACTGTAACTAAGTCATTCACTTTTATTGGAGAGAAGGAGATACATGACTCAGGACACTGGTGATCATCTTCATAATGGGAGGAACATAAAGATAATTTCATCTTATCTACAAAGTCACTGATAAATAGATAACGCTCTGTTAAAATAGCCTCTTTCACTGTCTCATTGTTTGATAAACAAACAAACCCGTGGTCTTTCATAGCTGCTCTGCTTTTCAACAGGCATGTTGAAGACCACAAGTTCTATTATTTAGCCAGGGTGAGCAAGAAACAAGAGACAGAAGGTTTCTGTCTCTTGTTTGTCACTTTCTGTCACCTTACTCATTTTTCTTTCTGAAAAATGAGCAAGGTGACAGAAGGTGACACATGAACGGTTGTGGCTGAGGACATAGAGCAGGTCATCTACCAAGCAGAATGTGGGTGGGTCAGTATCCTCAAGTACTGAACTCAAGTTCCTCCCAATGCTCATGACTCACAACTGGAGTGTGTGTGTGAATGTTAGAGCGGGCACCAAGGTTTGAACATGTGTGTGGTTGGGTGAATGAAGCTTGTAGTAAAAAGAACAAAAGAGTACTCAGAGTAGACAAGTGTTATGGGGGAATTCAAGATGGCGCCGTAGAGTAGACATTGTGGCTGAGTGAGCTCCAATGGTATTTGTTAATATTTATCTCATATCTTTATATTTGAACGGCGTCAAGTACAAAATTTCTAAAGGGGAGTGTTTTGACATGAACCTGGACAGTTACTTCCTAAAAATCTCAGACAGAAGTACAAAAAAATCATTGAGGAAAACTCCCAGTTATGCTGAAAATGAAGAGGAGCTAGGCACCATACCGGAGATACTGAGCATGTCTGCTAGTCCCGGCTCTATGGAGCCAAGTATTGTTCACGCTTTGGATAGAATAACTGATAATCTTACTAAAGTAATTGACTCCAAGATTTCTACTGTTCTCGAAGCTATTAAAGAACAGACCTCACAGCTGCAGGCGATCGCCACCAGAATGAATGAGGCGGAGAAATGGATTGCTGATGTGGAGGACACGGCGACATTATCAGAGGCTAAGCTGGCACAACTCGAGAAACAAATACATGAGATGCTAGAACATAAAGATGAACTTGACAACCGAGGTCGCAGGTGCAACGTACAGTGGGGCAAAAAAGTATTTAGTCAGCCACCGATTGTGCAAGTTCCCCCACTTAAAATGATGACAGAGGTCAGTAATTTGCACCAGA